ATACTTACACTAATATTTTTTAGTTGACATTGAAAAAAAATTTTGCAACAAATTTTTTTTGACATGAATAATTGGTATCACCTATAAAAAAAATGCTTTTTTAGTGTTTGTATCTTTATTTATAAGATTTGAAATAAAAAATTTATTTGAACTAAATTGAATTCATTTTACTCAAATTAAAAAATAGTTGGTATTACCATCGTATATTAAGTAGTGGTGAAAAAAAAAAAAAAATCTTATACAAATGGAAAAAGGAAATCCAAAAGCCATTTGCACTGCATAACCGCCTTCTCCCAAACCCAAGCATAACGGTCAGAAATCATTCTCTCCCTCCACTGCAAACCCTAGAGATGGAGATTAAACCCACAGATCAAAATCTTCTATTGTCCTTCGATCTCGCATGGTTTACAGATTAACAACAATCAAGAACAAGAATTGAAGTATTAATCGAAGGGTTTTCAGTCAACAAGCTGTTTCGTCATTCAATCGATTAACGAAATATGCGATCGCCTCTCCTCGCTGAATATGCCTCCGCCATGGTCTTAATCTGGATTTCAGTGGAGATACTGCTACATCGGCTACGCGATTGATGGTGAGTTGTTTTTTTAAAAAAAAAAAAAATTTGGCATTTTTATGGGTTTTATTTCGCGACAATTGGATTTTGTTTTTTCTTTTTTCAGTACGCATGAAAAAAAGTAATTACTTTAGTTTGAAAATTAGTTCTGGAGAATCAACCCTCTCTCTGGGTTCCTAAGTCGTGTAGGTTCTTTGATTATTGGATGTAGAAATAATGATTTTGTTAGCCTCAGTGATTGGTGTTTGGATCCTTGCCTTCAATTTTTTGGGTATTTAGAAAATTGATACTTTTGAAACAAAATAATGTTCTCAGAGTTTCTTATGATTTCAGTAACTGGTTTTGGAAAGTGGAGTACATCCAAATATTAGAGTTTTAAGGGTTGCCGAGATTTCATTCATTGGTTTTAGATAGTGGGTAGATCATCGATGGGCAGATATTAGGGTTTCAGTCCCTTGTTTTAGATAATGGCCTAATGGGTAAGATCATAGATTGGCAAAATTTAGGGTTTCAGTTTCCAGTTTATAACACGTTTTTGCATGCTCAATGATGTGAACGTTTTTATATGTTTTGTGGTAATGTAATGGGACATTGATTTTAATCACTTTAATCAGAAGAATTTTGATTGGCAAACCGTAGATGAAAATGCATTGTGTATTTTTATTTTTAACCATCAGAATGTAATCGGGCTTGTGTTTTCTATTATTTATCATAATCTGAATTTATTATTTTGGGAAAGAATACAAATGAACCTAGAGCTCTCAACTTGTCTAATTCAATGATTCTGTAGTTGTTTTTGTTTTCTTTTAATTGTTCACTTGAGTTTCCTTCTCCACCTTGTTCTCTTTTCTTCAATTCCCCATTTTGGTTTCTCTAATTCTAATTAGGATCTTATATGCTAATTGCGGCTATTGTTTTCTTAATTTTCTGTTCTAGAGTTGAAATGATAATTTGTATTGGAACCTATCCTCTACCATGTGCTGCATGTTAAAATTTTTTTTTGGTTTGTTATTTGATTACTTACTGATGAGTCTTACTGATAGCATTTTCATGATTTATTTTTGCTTGCAGAGAGAGGACTATATGGAGCCAAATGAGTCTTTTGGTCCAAAGCGTTTAGTGAATATCTCTTTTTCTTTTTTTAATTTTTGTCATTTTTATATTTATTCATCACAAATTGTATAATTTGGCTCAAAGTACTAGATTGAAATTTCCTTTTAGTTAGATTTACACTCAACGCACACTTACACAGAGTTAGTGAGGCTCAATATGCATGGCAATTAATGTCACTACATGGTTTAACTAAGATTTAAATACCTGAGTTTGAGAGATGATATAACCAATTAAGGGATCATAACTTCCTAGAATAACCTACTAGTATCCACATTTTGGATTGAAAACTTAATTGTTACAAGGGTGATTGTAGACTGTGGAAGTGTGTGTGATATTCTTTGCTCTTACATATTTGGGAAGAGTAGACTTTATGAAGTTCGGTTATAGAAATCCAATGAACAGTCTACAGGTTCAACTAAATGTTAGTCTCAATGAAAGGAGTCATTTCCTTGCTAGTGATCTTGGGATCATCTATTTGTCACATTGCTACAATACTGAGGTTCTTGGTTGTCAGATTAGCTGGGATTGCAGTGTTTTCCTAAGCACCTCTTCCTTCAGCCACATACAGGTATATTTTTCTTATCTCATTTGAAATTTTGAGATCTCTTTGGTATCACTTTTGCTTTTGTTTTTTTTTTTTTACTGGTTTTTGTTTTTTACTTTTTGATTTTAATCAGTTCTATTTATCTGTATTCTATTTTGAAAAAAAAAAAGCGTAAAACATTTTTTTTTGTGGATTTTAAAAGAAATTAATTAAGAAGCAGCTTCTTTGGAAATTAGAAAAAGATTTTTTATGGCTACAAGTTTAGACAGAAGTCACTGTATACTTTAAAACTAAAAACTGTTATATGTTTATCCTTAAATGTTATTTATATTTTCTACATCTAATATTTTTCATTATAATGGTTGTATTTGATTTTTTTATTTTATCTTTGTAGATTTCAAATTTTTTCGATGATGAATTTATATTTTTGTACATTTTAGATGATATTAAGTAATACAGGATTTGTATTATTTAGACTAATAGAACAAGTAAATAATGTATCAAATGAAATTATGTTTTACTATAAATACTATAAAAACAATAACAAGATGATTACTAATTATTTAGATTTTCTTATACTCATACATTCCTGTACATATATTAAGATAATTCTTAAATTGGATTATGTCCTTTACATGGATTTTTGAGGAAACTTATTGGATTTGTTTCTGTTATTGTTATTCAATTTACATTTCTTATATAAAATCTTCTTCAAATCTTTGACAAAAAATATAAATGCTAACAAAACAGAACCAAGAGACCAAAATTTTCTATCTTTTTTATTTTATTTTATTTTTATTCTTTCCTGGTTTTACTTTTCGATTCCTTGAAGGTTTTTTTTTCCCTTTTTTTTTTTTAGTGATACCAAAATGATACTCAAAGTTTCTGACTTCTATCGGGGTATTTTGAAATCAAGTATGACAAGCATACCCCGTCATTGGAAGTTGGAAACACTAGTTTCAAATGAGGCAATGAAATGTAATACCCGTTACGGAGTTGGGGTTAGGTAATTTGCTCGGGAAACATTGTGAGCAACGCCGATCTTGATAACTTGATATTGGTATTGTGGTGAGTGACGAAATGGTATTCCCATAATTACAATTGGGAATTTACTGTTTTTGCAAGAGATTGACTTGTCTGTTAGATTTGTAGATTTCTTCATTACATTGTATCCAACCGAACCTTAACGAGTCTCAAATTTCAAATATGTGATAGAATAAAAAATATCAAACATACTGCCAACATATACTCGTACCCTCGTTAAGTTAAAGTTTTCAATCTACGACGTGTGAATTAGTAGATGGGTTCTATTAGGATGAGAACTTAAAAGGTTATATCTTGATTGGACTGGGATTCTTAAATTCTTGGTTTACTTATTGGGCCATGTATGGGCTTAAAAAATAGATGAGCCATGTATTTATTGGGATTTCCTTGGACCCATTAGATTGTTGATTTTTATTAGTTGAGCCATGTACCCAATTGTAGTTTTGGTTGTCCAAAATGTTACAAAAACTATGTTCTTTAATAAACTTTTGTTGTTATATTATTTTTATGGTGAATATTTTCAAGCATAGATTTTTAAAAAAACCATGTGTTCATTAACGTACCTATTTATGTCTATAGATATGAAGAACGCACTTTACCAATTAAAAGTGATATTGCTGAAAAAAAATTACCGTCTCTTGAACGGCGAAGCAAAGATAAATGCAGTGTCTAGTAATTTAATATGCAAAATTGAAACATGCAAAATTACTCACTCAATCTTATTTATATTTGTTATAATGAAGAAAATTTGGTTTCCCATCCAATTTTGATACTGGAAACTTGTAACACTGCTTTTTAAGTCCTGATATACAACATCCAGTTTAATCTAGAAAGGAAAACCAGAGGGGTAATCTTGAGGATATTTGTTAATTGTTTCTCTGAGTTCTGTCTCTTGCTCTCGAAGGTTATCTGGTGGCTGATCATATACGTCAGAGAACAACTCTGCAATTGGAGGCTTCTCTGTTCGCTCTGCAACCTGAATTGCTTGCAATACCTGCATGATTTTAGTAACTCTACATGTTAGAAGACAGTTCTTTTCCATGGAGAAGTTATTACTGTGGATATATACTATTGTTCTCCTTGTGCATTCTTACCTGCTTCTTGATGCTGATTCGGAGCTCAGATTCTTCTTTTTCACTCCACCAACCTTTCTTTTCAATCCATCCTCTAAACCTATTTACAGGGTTTCTAGCCATTTTCCAGTATTCAATTTCATCAAGGGGCCGGTACTTGGTGGAGTCATCTGATGTTGAATGGTGTCCTATTCTATATGCAAGGGTCTGCAATTAGAATCAACAAAGTAAATTTACTTTTAGCAGCTTAATTTCCTCATTTTGGAAAGGTAACATACATAGACATCAGATTTGCTCTTACCTCAACTAGTACTGGTCTTTGCTCACTGACTGCCATTTCACGAGCAGTGTGAATTGCAGTGTAAACAGCAAGAGCATCACTTCCATCTACTCGGATGCTTCTGATTCCATAAGCTTGACCCTTTACAACAATGCCATCACCTGCCAAAGGTAACGAAACTATCAATCCTAAACCTCAAAGAAATGTCATTGTGGGAGGGCAAAAGGATTCAGAATCAGAAGTGAATTTGTCAAACATACTTCGAAATTGTTCGGATATATGTGTACTGATAGCCCAACCATTGTTGCGACAGATAAAAATCACTGGGGCTTCCATAACTGCTGCAAAGTTCAAGCCAGCATGAAAATCTCCCTGCAAGTAGCAAAAATCAACATGAAAGATTGGCCTATAACAGGTATATATAGGTTGTATAGAGGAACTGATCAAAAGGATGTAGGATTTACCTCACTAGTTCCACCATCCCCAATAAACGCTACCACACAAGCATCCTGTTTGTCCATCTTAAGAGAGTAGGCAATACCGGCAGCCTGAGGAAGTTGTGTGCTGCAAGCAACACAGGTGAATAATAGGTTTTAGTGTTGAAATGCAAGCAAATTGTATGAAGGGTTTTGAGGTAACTTACGCTATAGGTGATGAAACTGTTAAGTAGTTGTGCTTTTTGGACCCATAATGAACAGGCATCTGTCGTCCTTTCCCACCATCATCCTTGTTTCCAAAGCATTGGTTGGCAAAGTCTTGCAATGTGAAGCCACGCCATAATAGAACTCCTGGCTCACGATACTGGCATTTCATCAAGCAGTTAATGGCATTTCACAAAGACTATTAAAGGTGATTTTAGCAACTCATAAATCAAAACCATTGATCCTGAATCAACTATATACCTGAGGCAAGACAAGATCATCATCGTTAAGCGCAGCTGCAGATGCTATGTTAATGGCTTCTTCACCAATTGTTGTCATGTAAAAGGATATTCTTCCTTGTCTTTGTGCTTCATAGAATATAGTGTCCATGAATTGCAGAGTAACCATGTCATTGTACATTTTCAATGCAACTTCCTTGCTCATCTATTGCATGTTGAAGTAAAGTACTATGATTTAGGCAACCTTCTAATTCTTAAGCTTTGAAGAATATGAAAATGTATCACCCTTAATTATTACCTCCTTAAAATTGCTACCCATAATTTGGTCTCCATTTTCATCAAGAACTCGATAGCAAGGTACTCTTTTCACATAATTCTCCCAAATGAATTTCATTTCGGGCGTATATGTAACTTTCCCTCCGGGAAAATCCAATGCCTGCAAGAGCAAAGAGATCAGTAGTCAGTAATATGTACATATTGAACTGTGAAAAATGCACTTAATTAAGCCATTTTAGGGTGTTAAAGATCTCGGATTCAAAACATTTTTTTTTCCAGATGGTTTTGTGAAGTAATAACTCGCGGGCACAAGCTCTATTTTGCTTTTGTTGAACAAATTTTGAGCTTGGAATGCTATGTTCCACCACCTTGGGCTTCTATATAACCTCAGTTCATTGGGCTGTTATGGGGATTTGAT